CACAGGATAGACTAACCTGTTGGCCACACCAACACCTCTTCCAGCAGCAACCCACTTTCCTAGTTGGTCTCCCATCCAAGTACTGGCCAGGCCCAAACCTGCTTAGCTTCAGGTGGGTTACCAGGTCTGAACTGCAGGTGGTTTGAGCTATTGATTTCAGCATCCTGGTGTCCTGTATAATTTACAGTCACGTTTGCACATGGTATTCTGATGTCATTCTCTTAAGACGTCTCTTCTGTAAGTTTGAAATGTCTTTTGTATTCTTTAGCTTGGTATACAGCGCTTTCAACAATTTTTGGCACCCCTTCTAAAGTTTTGTAAAAAGCATTAGAAGAAAAATGAGAAAAATCCAACCTTTCATTGAAAAAAAATTAATTAAAAAGATAAACAAATCAGTCATCAAGAAATAATATTTTTAAGAAAAACATGATTATTGTCACCCCTGGAAATTATAGTGTACACAATGTAACTGAAGCATGTTTCCCATGTAAATTGTACATCTTTGAGTTGATGGAGTGTGTAGGAGCGTTCAAGCTGTAATCCATGACTTGCTGATTAACTGGGGTACAAACATGAGGCGACACAGAGGCCAAATTCCCTTAGTCATCCATCAACATGGGTAAGATATATATACAGACCAATGAGGGAGAAGTGTGCTGACCTTCATAAGTCAGGGAATGGGTATTAAAAAATAGCTACTCTCCTTAAAATGTCCATTTCCACTGTTGGGGTGATAATAGAAAAGTGGACATCAAACGGAACTGTTAGAAACCTGCCTGGAAGAGGACATGTTCTATGGTCTGATGAAACAAAAATTGAGCTTTTTGGCAATAAACATTCAAGATGGGTTTGGTGTAAAAAGAAGGATGGATATAATGAAAAGAACCTCATCCCAACTGTACAATATGGTGCAGGTTCTGTGATGTTGTGGTTGTTCTGGGACTGTATGTCTTTCCTTGTTAAGGTACATGGCATTATGGAGTCCAAGAAATACCAGGACATTTTTAATAAAAAATGTGGCCTGCCTCTGCCAGGAAACTCAATCTGGGTTATCATCAGATTTTCCAGCAGGACAGTGATCCTAAGCACATGTCCAAATCAACACAAAGATGGTTAGCTGACCGCAGAATCAAGCTTCTGCCATGGCCATCTCAGTCCCCTGACCAGAACCCCACTGATAACCTGAGGGCTGAGCTGAAGAGGAGAGTGAACAAGAGAGGGCCTCGGACCCTGGGTGATCTGGAGAGAATCCGTACAGAGGAATGGTCTCAGATGTCCTGCTCTGTATTTTTCAACCTTATAGAATGTTACAGAAGATTCAGTGCTGTTGTACTGACAACGGGAGCTTGTACAAAGTATTAAATGCCAATAACGGCGACACGTGTGTTTTTGTTGGAAATAATTATTTCTTGATGAAGGAATTGTTTCTCTTTGAATAAATTTATTTCAAAGGTTGAATTTTTACAAATCCATTAATTGTGAAGGGCGCTGTATATTGAACTGTGAATGACTCTTTGTAACACTTTACCGCTTGTCAATGTGTCTTGTAATGCTGTCCCGTGCTTCATGTTTGGCACAAACGATTTTTGCAAGTATGGACAAACATTGCAGAAAGTGTCTGAGTTCTGAGTGTTATTTGCCTCTATAATTTTCCCTGTGCTACTCGCTTATTCCGATGAACCTAAATTTGTGCTTCAACGGTGATGAATTGTGGCACACAGGAAACCGTGGGCAATATTAGTCACTCACTGCTGCAGGCATGAGCCAAGCCTGTGATGGTCCCAGTGAAACCAGTAGAGAGTGAAAGAGAGACAGTATGCAGGAAAGAGACAACAGGAAAGAGACGCAACAGGAAAGAGAGACAACAGGAAAGAGAGACAGCATGTAAGAGAGACAGCATGCAGGAGAGACAGCATGCAGGAGAGACAGCATGCAGGAGAGACAGGCTTGCGGTCAGAAATACAGGGCTGGAATGGACCCGTGTCTCTGTGGACCATGACCAGACAGTGTCAAGGTGTGTGGTGGAGAGGTTATGTGACAGCAGAAGATGTACCGAGTCACTTACAGCCATGGGCTCAAAGTGTGTACACAAGCTACCGATGATCTCGCAGGGCTGGGGAAGCACATTTCACAGAGACAGACATCTGCAAGTAGATAATCTGGCCGACGTGACAACAGTGGCCCACCTCGGCAAGGTGAGCGATGGCTACGACGGCCACCCACAGAGAAAGCTGCCAGTAACCCGCCTTCAGCGCTGCCCAATCTGTGATCAGTGCTAATTAGTGCTAATAAACCAGGGTCCTTTTTAAAAGCTTCCAATCTTAGCGCTGTTAGCGCTGTCCAGCCTCCGCAGGCCTGGCAGGCCGACGCAGCAGATGGACAGCAGCCTCCTCAGGGGGGCGATGGCGGGCGATGGCGGGCGGGGGTTCAGACCTGCCACCAGCAGGATGGGGTGCTTCTCCGGGTGGAGCTCCATCTGCCGGGCGATCCAGGGCCCGTCGAAGTGCGCGTACCACCAGCCCTTCTTCTTGGCCTGCGGGTCCTTGTACTGGTCGCTGGGCCTGATGAACGGGATGCGGAAGTATCGCTGCTGCCGGTTCATGGCGATCTCATGCTGGCGTGCAGGGATGGGCGGGGCGGCGTTCTGCGTCGCTGTCGGGCAGGAAATGGAGAAGCGAGGGCAGGAAGTCAGCTTGGAAGTGTGGCTACGCCCTTTATAGCCGTCCTGCACAAGGACCTGTCACTAATGCTGCAGTATCACACTGAGAAGCTCCCTTCTGCAAATTAAAATGGCCAATAAAACGCGGAAGCAACTCCAAGCACAGGAAGCCCCAGGAAGTTCATCCCGAACACAGAGAAGAGAAGCAAGCAGCTGCTATTGCTGGCCGTCTATTAGCTGCTTATTGGCAGGACAGGGAGAGGACATGGGCCCCAGACCAGCAAAGGGTTACTTGCATTTACTTAGTGAGCAGACGCTGACTAACCAAAGTGACATACAAGTGAGAAAGCAGCTGCAGCCAGTCCTGGAAGTAACTGGGGGTTAAGGGCTCAACACTGAAATCACTTGGCCGACCACGGGATCTGAACCAGCAACCTTCCGATTACAGTCCTGATCCACTGTGCCACATACACAACTGAGATCCACTATTTTATGTATTTAAAACTTTTTAGGGAAAAATGTTGGTAAAAAGTAACCAGGTATTTAAAGCAACACACTGCTTAATCTGTTTTTAAGATGTGAAAGGGAGCAGCATGCCATGCTTTATCTTCGTGTATCCGGCACATACTGCCAGATGAAACATCAGACTGAGAACAGGGGCATGGGAGGGGCTTAGTGGCCAGCACCACCACCTCACCCTCCTCCCGGCACGGCCACCTCACCCGCCTCCCGGCACGCCCACCTCACCCGCCTCCCGGCGCCGCCACCTCACCCTCCTGCCGAGTCCCTCCCTGCTGTCTCAGACTGGGTGCCCCACGCCCCATGGAACGTTACACATGCTCCAAGCCTGTGGTTGTCCCAAGAGTACTTGATAAAATGTGATGCCACACAAGTTACCTGACAGGAGTGGCTGTGTGCAACAACCCTGATGAAAAACTGGCAAGATCTTTGTGAACAAACTATTACTACTCAATTGCTGTATGAGTCCAACTAACCCAAAAAACTAAGGAGTGAAATGATTCATTTCTAAATAACTACAGCTTTTATCTGCCCAACCAGCCATTACAGATATAGACAAGTCTCCAGAGGTTACAAACGAGTCTGACTTTGGGATGAATCTTTAGGCAAGTCGGAAAAAAAATATAGTACATAATATAATAATAATAATAATAATAATACAGTAAAAATCAAAGTAATTACATATGGGACTGTACTATACCATGAGTTGACAAACCGTTGATGTTTTCATGAGTGTTCCGAAGTACCATGTGCAGCCGTTATTACGAGCCATTAAACCCCAATATTTAATGCAACAGGCTTCATGGCGTCCATTTGTAACTATGAGCTGTCCATAAGCCAGACATTCTGCTGCATTAAAAAAATTGTGGCCATCTTTATTGTCTGAGTTTCTCTATTAAAATGCAAATTTTCAGGTAGACATTGCGAAACTTCCATCATGGTTAATACTCTTAAACTCATGTAGCCAACATGGTTGGTAGTGGCTTCCCGAAGCACCAAGACTAACTAACCCTTTCCAGTCATGCTCATAATTCACCCTCAAGTCTCTATATCTGGGGTGGTTAGTCAGGTTAGTGTGGTTACTGTCGCCGATGGACACTTACATGCCTTTGTCACAAAAGGAGCGAGATCTGAAAACAAACATGCTCAGTTACACAAGTAACACAGCACACGTGCATTTTCAGACACCATACAGGCATACGCTGGTTTACAAGAGGGAAGAAAAAAAGAACAACCTACTAGCATCTCAGATTAAAAACAAAAGAGTTCATATGTAGTAACTATTCTTTGACAATAAAGTTTAAAAAAACTTCTTCAGATTCTTAGAGAAATTCTTAGAGAAATTCAAAGAACCATCACAAACTGCACTCGATAAGAAAAGTGTGCCTTTAATTTCAAGCAGTAGCTTAAGAGATTGAGGGAACAGCGACACAGTAAAGGCGGCTGCCGGCATGTTCCCGGCCTGAGACGCCCATCACACTGACAGGACACCCTAACACTTGCATTTTATGTAACATCGGCTGATCTCTGCAGAAAATTCAGAGGTGAAGGGCTATTTAACTATTCACAGAGCACAGCGGCGGGTTTGGAAACGCTGCTGCCAGGGTCGGGACGGGGGGGCTTTATCATCGGACGCACTCAACAGGAGAGTTAGCCCCGAAGCCATTAGCATCACCTTGGCTCCTGTGTCACTCAAACCCTCTCCAGTAGAGAGCTTTTCACGCTGCCTCACAGAAAGCGCAGACTTCTTTGCGCCAAAAGCTGCTAATTATATTTGTTTCCCTTATTATGCCCATAATCTTAAAGAGACAAAGAAATATCGATGGGGGGTTTTCAGCTGAGCTGGGGGAGCATCTATAGGGTGACCTGAGGCCTGATCAAATAATTCCTGGGGGGTAAAAGCCACGTTTTGGAAAAGAAAGCACAGCTGAAAGGGTTCCACCCAAAGAGAGGGGCCTGGGAAGTCCGAACCTTTGCCGGAGAAGGACCTCAGAGAGACGGGCAGGGCCCCTTACCGTAGTCGGTGACCGATTCGGGCGGGGCCCCTTACCGTAGTCGGTGACCGATTTGGGCGCCCTCTGCTCAGAGTCAGTGTTGCGCTTCTTGTTCCTGGACTTCCAGGCATGGTAGACCTTCAGGCGGCGGTGGAACTCCTCGCGACAGGCTGCCAGCAGCTCGATGTCTGAGCGGGGAGAAAGAGAAACAACGGGAGTTCATGGACAGGCATTCACAGTGACCATAAGGAGCTAGAGGAACACCCACCATGGGGAGGCGAGTCGGCATTCACAGTGACCATAAGGAGCTAGAGGAACACCCACCATGGGGACTGGGGAGCTGGCATTCACAGTGACCATAAGGAGCTAGAGGAACACCCACCATGGGGACTGGGGAGCCGGCATTCACAGTGACCNCACCATGGGGACTGGGGAGCTGGCATTCACAGTGACCATAAGGAGCTAGAGGAACACCCACCATGGGGACTGGGGAGCCGGCATTCACAGTGACCCTACGCAGTCAGAGGAACACCCACCATGGGGACTGTGCAGGCGAGCCGGCATTCACAGTAACCCTACGCAGTTAGAGGAATGCCCACCATGGGGACTGGGCAGGCGAGCCGGCATTCACAGTAACCCTACGCAGTCAGAGGAACGCCCACCATGGGGACTGTGCAGGCGAGCCGGCATTCACAGTGACCCTATGCAGTCAGAGGAACACCCACCATGGGGACTGTGCAGGCGAGCCGGCATTCACAGTGACCCTACGCAGTTAGAGGAATGCCCACCATGGGGACTGGGCAGGCGAGCCGGCATTCACAGTGACCCTACGCAGTTAGAGGAATGCCCACCATGGGGACTGTGCAGGCGAGCCGGCATTCACAGTAACCCTACGCAGTCAGAGGAACACCCACCATGGAGACTGGGTAGGCCAGCCGGCATTCACAGTAACCCTACGCAGTCAGAGGAACACCCACCATGGGGACTGGGCAGGCCAGCCGGCATTCACAGTAACCCTACGCAGTTAGAGGAACACCCACCATGGGGACTGTGCAGGCGAGCCGGCATTCACAGTGACCCTACGCAGTTAGAGGAATGCCCACTGCCCTATTTTTATTACTTTGCATACAAAAAATGAAAAATTGAGCTTAAAAAAGCATTTCCACGTGTTTGATGCTCGACATTAAATAAATGAATGTTTAAATAATAAACAAAAAGCAATCTACTTCTGTGCTGCTTGCAGCCATTGGAGTCAGCAAAGAGGTTATGGGATCTGTGCCCTTGCCCGGAAGAGGGCTGCCTGCCACTCAGGAGGTTATGGGATCGGTGCCCGCACCCAAGATTGTGGGCTTGAATCCCATGGCCAGTAGAGGGCCTCGATCAAGGAGCCCATGAGGGCATAACTACTCCACGGGCACCGGATGCCAGCTCACCCAGTTCTCTGACCCCGAGATTTCCCCACTCCAATGTCGCTGCAAAATGCGTAAACTTTAAACCACACTTCCAGCTTCCAGTTGAACCATAATTGGTACAGGTCCAAAAAAGTGCTTCAGGCAAAAAATACAAAAAAAAAATGACATCAAAAACCTTGGGTAGGGAACACAGGCAGACTGATGTGGCCACGTTCCTGGACCAAGGAACAAATACAGATTCATGGCAGCTCCGCTTAAAATGACGCTGCTGCAAATGAACCACAAAGTGAGCTGATAGAAAAGGCGGAGGACCCAGCGTGTGGGGTGGCAGGGGGGGGTCATTAGGCAGCTCAGCCCAGGAAAATCCTAAACCCTCACACGCATCACACCCAGAACGCCGCCCGCCTGCTTACACGTGTGATGTTTCAACACCAGATGATTTTGAAGGACAATCCATAGAAATGCATTAGCTGGCATGACCTACTCTGTCCTTCACAAGGGCCTTTTCCTGGGATCCAATAGAAGGGTCCGGTCTGAACTGGCCCAGTTTAACAGCCTCCCAAAGCTGGAAGGCCGGCCAGGACTGGGGCTGAGTGACCTCTCACTGGCCCGAAGAGCCTCGAGGCGCCCGGCACTCACCGCAGGACGTGTTTATGGCGTCGCGGAGCTCGGCGTACTTCCACTTGCTCAGCTCGTACTTCTTGGCCCCGCTGGCTGCCTTGGTGGCCTGGACCTGGGGGCCCCTGGCGAAGCAGAAAGAAGGGGGTCAACCACAGGGTGGGGGTAGAAGGGAAGGGGTCCTGGATGGAGGGCGGGAATGGGTGCCCCAAAATAAGACCGTAACAGTCACTGTGGTGGGTGAGGTCACTGAGAGGACACATTGGACAGAATTTGTTTGGTTTGAATTTGAGCAAAAGGAAATAGAATATCATACTGCAGAAAGCAAAAGGGGAATATTTATAGCTGAGAACAATAGCTTGGCAATTCATACTTATGGGAAATGTCTGCACATGCGTTTACATCTGCAGGGTGCCAACTGAAATGATGTCATTCGCTGTGCTGGGTTCCCGTCAAATGAGGTGTGGATGCCAAGTGGGGCAGCAGAGGTGCTGGGTACGGATGTGTCCCCACGCTAATCCTATTGGCTGATTCAGCCCTCCATTAGGGGATCGCCGTCAAGGCCAGGCAGCTATTCTGGGCTGTGACCTGCGCCCCCGCAGCCCAGCGTTGGGCCGGGTGTCTCTCACGGCGTGTGTGGGAGCGGATTGGTGCGATGAGCCACGAGGACGCAGCCAGCAGGCAGGAGATTAAAGGCTGTGAATGACACAGTGCAGGATCTCACTGACAGCGAGGGCCGCTGCTGCTGTTAGGGTAATGCAAGGCGAGGATCAATGTACCGACAATGTACCGACAGCTGAAGTACTGCTGGAATATTATGGAATATATATGTGTGTGTATGAGTGTGTGTATATATATATATATATATATACACACACACATATATATACACAGACAGGCATATACATACACATGTATATGACATTTTAGCTGGAAAATGTACTGAAATATATTATATGATTTATACTGTTTATATTTAATATAAAGAATTAGACACATAAACAACATATGAATGTTTTATGCAAATTGTTAAAGGTAGTAGCATTAATATTAACGTGATGCCGCATTAATAAAGTCACTTTTTAGTAAGGAATATTTAAATGATATGAACTTCACTCAAACTCTAAAATTGCTTTCTACGTTTCTCGCAGTAATGGATTAGATTCAATGAAAGTCTGGAATTTTCTCTTTGGGAAGACAAAAAATGATCTACTAATTAATAATAAAACAAACAAACAAATAAATAAATAAAGATAAAATCCAAGAATACTAATGAGTTTTCCATTTGTGTATTTTTTTTGTTTAATTTCAAAGTGTCTTAAAATTTTAAAGTGCTCCAGATGAACAGGATGCCCACCCGCAGTCCAGATCTTCAGGCCCCAAATGTGCAGACACACATCACTCAATAGCAACATTTCACAGTACAGAGATTTGCCACATTCAATTACAGGAAATCAAATTGGGTAAATTAGGAGAATTATGCAAGTTCTCACATGTGGGCTGGCGATTCGTATGTGTAGATCAACCTCAGATTTGATTATTTTGGGGATTTGACTGATTGATCTCAGTAGACATGAACAAGTGTCTCAAACCCACCGGGCAAGAAGTTCAGACATTTCTTTGGCCATCTCTTCCCTAAAAGGACACGATAATTCCAGCACGTAAAGGTTAGACATGCGTGGACACATTCACCACACACCGTATTCGCCTGCAGACTACATATCCGATATCTCCCAGCAAATGCTTTCTGCCACAGGAAACACGTGTCATTCTTGTGATATTTCTTATACCTCCTATGAGCAAAGGTACAAAGCAGCGGTCAGACAGACTGCAGACCACAGCTGGGGAGTATGCTTAGGGACCGCCTTATGCTGCCTGCGGTCAGCGGGCGACAGCTTCGCTCGTTTGACAACTTCCCGAGCGTGCAGGAAACCTTCCTATCGTGCACCAACCTAGCGCCTGTCTGTACTTTGGGCGTGATTCTCAGAGGAGCAGTGTGCACCAAGCGAAGGCATCGGAGATACCGCATGCTAACCGGCCAGGAGGCGTGGAGAGCCTGCGGAGAGCGGCCGGCTATTGTACTCCACACACTTCAGAGAAGCAGCTCAGCATCTCGCTTCCTTATCGCATTAAGTGGAGTTACCACACCGAATCGCATGTGCTGAAATGATGCTGAGCTTGCAAGAGCTGGCTTTATTGGAGGGGGGTGCTGGTCTTGGGGGGAGGTGGGGTGTTTATGTGTGTTTGGCATGGTTATCTACACTCACACTCACTTTGTCTGGCCATATCTCACTAGACTGGCATCAGCTCTGACCTACAATTTACATTTATCCAATGCAATAACATTTCGGCGCTAGATTCAACAAACATCTCCCACACAAACGCTGCCCCCTTTGAGCAATTCACATCGTGTGTGACGTGAACCGCAGAGGTCATAAAAAAACTGTAAATGGGCTACTAGCTCATATATATGCATAAAATGTTTTTCAATTTTTACAATTGAAAATGGTGCAGAGGTTTTATTTGTGCGCAACGATGGGGGGATGGTACTGAGGATACAGAACCACTGGGCAGAGTATAAAAAACATTAGAATGAACGTAAATGTGTGTGTGTGTACATATATGCGAGTATATATATGTGTGTGTGTGTCTGTGTGTATATATATATGTGTGTGTGTGTGTCTCTGTCTGTGTGTATATATATGTGAGTATATATATGTGTGTGTGTGTGTGTGTGTGTCTGTGTGTGTGTCTGTGTGTGTGCGTCACACTGCTTGCTCCCTGCTTTAAAATCTTGGCAGAAATTTATTTACTATTCAAGACTAAGTGTAGAGGATTCTGAACATGAAGTATTTATAATTGCATAATTATATGTAAAAGAAATGTAGAAATGGAACATACACACTCAAGCCCTTCATCTTTTGAGGTTCACCGAAGCTGCAAACAAAAGATAACCAAGTTAAAGGGGACCAGCGGCTGCAAAGCGCCACAAGTCCAGAAGATCAGAAAGCAGAAGAAAGAGATTCTTTGTGGAAAGCTGATTGATCAGGCAGACGTCCCCGTTTGCGCCTCATAAAAAAACAGAAAAGTGTTTGGATTAAATTTGTCTTTGGCTTCGTTCCGGCCGGATGCTAATGCTAAATTTTGTCTTATAATTTCGATGTTTTCAGATGATTGATGTTTTGTGGAGAAAAGCCTGTTAATCACAGTTAATCACTAATAATTTAGTTGTTACCAGTCACGCTGCTGTAGATTAGTTTGAAAGATTTATGTGGCATGCAGGGGTTAGCTTTAATTTGGGGCTATAATTTTAGTAGGGTGGAGGAGAACGGGGGCGGGGAGTTATTTCTTACTTGGTTCCCTCTGGGGACGACTCAAAGGTGTCATTACTGAGAGAACAAGAAAACAAAAGTCAAGAAAATACTGGGCTTTTCTCATAAACAAGCTGAGAAAGTAACATCAATGTTAGATGCCCTGTGGACAGCTTTGCTGACCGTGGTCCCTGTTCCTGATGGAACACTGTTCCAGCCTTTAGCTTTGTGCTTGTTCTAGTGTGGGCGAGAGTTTACAGTGACTCTCCACAATGTCTCAGAGTGCCAGCCTGTAGACTCTGAGCTGGGTAATTTCATTGGCAGCTAAGGACTTCAGTCTTTAGAGGGTCCTTGCGGCTGTATCCCTGAGCAACGGAAGTAACCTTAATGGCTTCAGCAGTGATAGAAAAAATTACACTTCATGAACCATTTGCAATATTTTCTGCCCCCCACTAGATGGTGCTCTTGGGTTGCTTTGAGGTATGCTTTGTACCCTTTTTTGAACAGAGAGCTCCATCTAATGTGATCAAAAAGTGGTTCATGAACCATCATTTTGTCCTTCAACAGTCTTCAGCAAACAACGATGCGCTCTGTCGTTAAGCCACTGGCTATGAAGTAATGGCAGCAGCAACAATCGAGAAAGAGCAGAACAGCAAGCAGAGGCCAGCAGAGGGCTTTACCTGCGTAGCCCAGCATCAATCTGCGTGTCGTCTGCGATGAGCTCGGCTTCGCTCTGTGCGATGCGCAGGGCCAGCTCGCGGTCCCGCCTCTCCTGCTCCAGCATGGTCTGGCGCCGTGCCTCCGCCTCGCGCTCCGCCTCCAGCTGCAGCTCCACTTCTGCCTGCATGGGGGGCAATAGGAAGGAGACATGGGGGGGGGGGGATATGGAGCACTCAGTGACTATACTCAGAAGCCCACACCAAACAGTGCCCATCACTTGCTGCTTGTCCGTATCAGAATGACGATGGGGGACAGGAGGGGAGCAGAGCTGATGTCACGGCCCACACACACACTGAACAGTAAGTGAATCAGACGAGGTACAGATAGTGTAGCTTCTGCAGGCTCCGAATCCATAAGAGATGAGGTTGTGAATAAAGCCTGTCAAACTGTTTCAGTGGCAGAACCAGAATTAATAAGGAAATCCTACATTTCACTGGGAATAACATGCACAGACGTATGTATTCAGTGGTGGCCAGGGTTCCGCTAATCCGCTAACTGCTAACTAGCGAAGGTAACTTTTTCATTAGTAGATTAGCATCTCTGCTAACTTTGAAAACCGTTAACAGACCAGTTAACTACTGCTAAATTTGGTTCCGCTAACTGTAAATCTAACATTTTTCAAGTCAAACGGTCATAAACTCCTAAAATGACGTATTTGTTCAGATCTGTTGCGAGCGTGTCTGCAGCGGTCTATCTGGTATGCTGTTAGCTGACTATGTGTAAACACAAGACATGACTGTCAATAACTTCTTGGATTTGAGGTAGTCTGACCAAAATGTAAGTGAACTAGGGATGGCACGGTTCATGAAAAAAAACCGAACCGTTCGGTTCGCTTGTCTCGGTTCGGAGCATGCATGCGTCGCACGGTTCGATGGTTCATGACATGCGCAATGTAGCCTCGTGCCCCGTATGTGACGTCAGTGTGTTTCCCTTTCGCGCGAAAGAATAGGCTATATGCACAGAGCGGTGTGACGTAGTTCCGGTAAAAGTTCAGCCAGCTAAGTCATTTCCGGTAGCCTTTCGTTTGCTGCGTTTAGCTCGTGTTTTCGGCGTTACCACCCTGTCTCTGAAGAAAACGTTTAAATTTCAGCCAACCGATAGCACAACATCTAAAAATTGTTGTGCGTCTTTGTTGTGTGACTTTATTTAATGTGCGGTTAGGCACTTTGTTAAAGAAAATTAAGTTATCTGTGACAAAGCACTCCAGTGAGTGTCATGCCTCGATCGTCCGTTCTTTCCGTGTGCCACGCCCCCTCGTCAACCCTGTGTGGATTCCCCGTGTTTACCAGCTGTTCCTTATTGTTGTCAAATTTGTCATTACTCCATTGTATTTAGTCCGCGTTTCCGTTTCTTTCTCCAGTCCGGTCATTATATTGTAATTCTGCTTTACCGCTCGTCTGTGTTCCTTTTGCTCATTAAACCCCGCATTCCCCCGATCCTAGGTCTCCTCGCCTCTGCTTCCCCGGTCAGCGTTGTAACAGTGAGCCTGCTTCCATGCTGCAATGTGAACATTTGCCATGTTCCTAAAAATTCTGTTTATTGCACAGTGTCTGACCACACAGACCTACAGGCTATTGCCAGATGATCATACTAGACATATCAACTGGACATATTTTGCACTATTACAGATTGATGTCTTGTACATACACAGAAATTGATTTTATCGATTACTCAAGAACATTCAATACAATTAATACCAATTTTTTTCACGTTTTATATATATATATATAAAACGAACAGAATCAGGCTTAATCAAGATAGGTGATCTATCATTTTAACTATCCCCAATTAAATTAAACCCCGTGGACTGGACAAATACAAAACGAATGATTAAACATTATATGCGTCTCTTTTTGTATGTTTTCTAAATAAGACCGCGTGCCCATACCCAACTGTAATAGCGATTACAGCGATCTATTCTTTTAGTATTTATGTTTATTTTATTACTGTTCTGGGATTAATAATGTTTAATAATTTTAATAATGTGCTTTAAGTCAAGTCAAATTCAGTTTATGCATGATTAGCCTACATGATATAACTTTTTTAATACTGTATCCTAAATTGTGGATAATTAAGCTATATATCATATGCTGAAGTACATTTCTGGAGTGTTAAAGATTAAAAGAAAAAATAACAAGAACCGTACAGAACCGAAAACCGTGACCCTAAAACCGTGATACAAACCGAACCGTGGGTTTTGTGAACCGTGCCACCCCTAAAGTGAACAAAGATGAAGTTCATGCAAACTAAGCAGAGAGCTGGGGCCTGTATCACAAAGCTGGATTTTTTGCTTAGTCACATTCAGTCAGATTTCAGATGACCTAGTTGCCCAGACTACTTTAAATACCACAAGTTATCCAGCTAAGCAAGAAATTCTGCTTCAGCCCCCCATTATTTTCCAGGTCCTGATTCACAGAGCTACAGTCCAATAGCTAACAGGAAGAATGCATGTGGAGGCATTTCGGTGTCCCTCCCGGGGATCTCGCCTAGGGCGGCCGGCACTAGGTACGACAGGACAATGAGCGTGTTACTTACTGAAAGCCCAGTGTTGCTCCAACTGTGTCTCATTTTGATTAAACTATGCGATGGTAAAAAGCGTGGAAGTTAAACACCCCAAAGCTGAGAACGACGCTGGTTTGCCGTTTATGACGTCATACTTAAAAACCTCCAATTCTCAGCTTTAGAAAATCAGCACCTCCAAGCTTCATTTTTAGTTACTTTTACCCTTGAAATGCTGCTAAAGTTTCTTATACATAGTAACATATTTGCTTACTCCGAGACCCTCCTTCCTAGTTCTCAGTTAATGCCATATTTCCCCAAGTGGCTTTACGTACAGTAGGGAAAAAATGTCAGCGTGGGTCAGCAAAAATGCGTATATCTTGCAAACGGAATAGAGGCTTTACAGAATCCAGCGATTCCCACTTTTATATACCCTCAGGTAATCACTCCAGACGCATCAAATTAAATTGCTAAATAGGTTAGAATTTCAGTTCTCTAAGTATGTCATTAGCTTCCTCTACATACTTTAGTGTAGGGGTGTCAAACTCCAGTCCTGGGGGGCCGGAGCCCTGCACAGTTTTTGGTTCACCCTCATTTAACACGCCTGATTCAACTCCTTGTGCTAATTACCACACAGCTCTTGAGCTGAATTATTTGTGGTGGAACAGGGAAAGAGCTAAGCTACACAGGGCTCCGGCCCCCCAGGACTGGAGTCTGACACCCCTGCTTTAGCGGTTTATGGGTTTAGCATTATCAAATCAAACTTTGGAATTAGCAGATTAGCGGTTATCGAAGCTAACTTTTCAGTTAGCTGTGCCCATCACTGTATGTATGCATGTGTGTGTTTGTGCACTAAGCCTAAGCCAAGTGCATAAACATACCGGGCATGGAAATTAGCACGACAGGCTAACAGAGTTAAGTGTGGCTCCCACACTGGCACAGGCACCAGCAGCTTCTTGGCACTGGCAGGCTGCTGACGGCCTCATTTCTCCTGCTCTGTCACAAGAAGTGTGTAGTTTTCTCGGTGCCCATAATGAACTGGGCTGGGATTTATGACGGTACGAGCACGGTCGAGTGAGCCTTTGACGGCGGCGGCGGGGGCAGGGCGATGATCGATGGTGCTGCCATCGAATCATTCTTCCACAATACTTCACAAGTTCTATAGCTGGACTGTAACAGCCCAGATAAGCTGAGCAGCATGATCACGATGGCATACAAAAAAATAACCAGGCCATCAAGGCCTCTGCTTCTCAGTGACACTTCTATCTTTGAAAGCTACAGGAAGAATGCATGTGGAGGTTTTTCAGTGTCATTCCCGGGGACCCTGTCTAGGACAGCTGTCACCTGGTGACAACAGGACAATGAGCATGTTACTTACTGAAAGCCCAATGTTACTCTAACTGTGTCTCATTTTTATTAAACTCAGCAACATTAAACAGCGTGGAAGTCAAACATCTGAAGGAGGAGAACAAAGCTGGTTCGCTGTTTTACATGTCTCCGTGCTTAAGAACCTCCAATCTTCATTTCTAGTTACTTTTACCCTTGAAATGCTGCTAAAGTTACTCGTACACAGTAATAATATTTGTTTTACTCTTGACAAATGTTGTCATGCTTAATTAGAGAACAAATACGGTATGACCTTTAAATTTTCAAAAAGAATGTGAAAAAAAACAAAATAGATTAATCACATTAGTACGACGCACATGCTGCTGTTTTCTTCAGCACTAATCATATTTACCTTAATTGAACGTAGGGTGGGAGAGAACAGCTTGAACAAACGGCCTGAGCGAAAATGCACATTTCTATCCCCCGGTGAAAAGCGCAGTGTAGTGGTAAGCGGAGACGACACCCCTAATTGTGCTGTATCACATTGATTTTATTGTACTGGACTAAACGATCTTGCGAGGGGCCACGGTAAATGAGGAGCGGCGGCGGTGGCTGAGAATCGGCTGGGTGGACCTCAGTTCCTCAGCAAAAATACTGCAGCCAGACCCCCCCCCATTCTGATGCTAGTCTCCAGGCGCTGTCTTGTGCAGCGCTCCATATCTCAGGATGTGACACATCCGAGAATTCGGGGAAGGTAGAGAATAATTACACTGAACTCCAGAGAATAATTATAGGCTGACACTTAAAGGGCTTTCCTGCCACTGTAACCGTGGGGAGAGACTGAGCACTCGGGTGGGGAAGGGGTGCCCGCATGAGTACAGGGACTCAAGCTCGAGTAGGGACGAGGTGCCTGAATGAGTACAGGGACTCGAGCTCGAGTAGGGACGGGGTGCCCGAATGAGTTCAGGGACTCGAGCAAGAGTAGGGACGGGGTGCCCGAATGAGTTCAGGGACTCGAGCTCGAGTAGGGACGGGGTGCCCGAATGAGTACAGGGACTCGAGCTCGAGTAGGGACAGGGTGCCCGAATGAGTACAGGGACTCGAGCTCGAGTAGGGACGGGGTGCCCGAATGAGTACAGGGACTCGAGCTCGAGTAGCGACGGGGTGCCCGAATGAGTACAGGGACTCGAGCTCGAGTAGGGACGGAGTGCCCGAATGAGGACAGGGACTCGAGCTCGAGTAGGGACGGGGTTCCTGAATGAGTACGGGGACTCTAGCTCGAGTAGGGACGGGGTGCCCCAATGAGTACAGGGACTCGAGCTCGAGTAGGGATGGGGTGCCCGAATGAGGACAGTGCGCTCGAGTAGGGACGAGGCGCCCGAATGAGTACAGCACGCTCGAGTAGGGACGAGGCGCCCGAATGAGTACAGCACGCTCGAGTAGGGACGAGGCGCCCGAATGAGTACAGTGCGCTCGAGTACGGACGAGGCGCCTGAATAAGTACAGCGCGCTCGAGTAGGGACGAGGCGCCCGAATGAGTACAGCGCACTTGAGTAGGGACAAGGTGCCTGAATGAGTACAGCACGCCCGAATAGGGAGGAGGCGCCCGAATCAGTACAGTGCGCTCGAATAGGGAGGAGGCGCCCGAATCAGTACAGTGCGCTCGAATAGGGACGAGGCGCACGAATAGGGAGGAGGCGCCCGAATGAGTACAGTGCGCTCGAATAGGGACGAGGCGCNGGGACGAGGCGCACGAATAGGGAGGAGGCGCCCGAATGAGTACAGTGCGCTCGAATAGGGACGAGGCGCCCGAATAGGGAGGAGGCGCCCGAATGAGTACAGCGCGCTCGAATAGGGACGAGGCGCTCGAATAGGGAGGAGGCGCCTGAATGAGTACAGTGCGCTCGAATAGGGACGAGGCGCCCGAATAGGGAGGAGGCGCCCGAATAGGGAGGAGGCGCCTGAATGAGTACAGTGCGCTCGAGTGGGGACGGGGCGCCCGGATAGGGAGGAGGCGCCCGAATGAGTACAGTGCGCTCCAATAGGGACGAGGCGCCCGAATAGGGAGGAGGCGCCCGAATGAGGACAGCGTGCTCGAGTGGGGACGGGGCCAGCACGCCTAAGTGGCGCTGTAAAGTGGACAGCATGCTTGAGGGGGACGGGGAACTCTAATGGGGACACGACACTGGAACGGGGACGAGGGAAAAAAAAAATCATCTTAGAAAAAAAACAGAAGAAACGTAGAGTGGAAATTCTAGAAGGACTCGTCAAAACAAATTTGTCAACACAGGAGACAGAGAGGGATGATGCAAACTGCAGGAATGGAGGATAAAGAGCTGGGATGACAGAGTGGGCTGTGGGAGGAGCCCAGGGAAACCACAGGAGATCAGGACTGTGGACATGGTGTCAGGGTCCAATGGAATCAAGGGGCCAGTGCTCTTCCTGGCACTGGAGTAAACAGCAGCACATTATTTCAGGCACTCTGAGCACCAGCGATTAAAATGAGCCACAGAGAAAACTTTTTTGGTTACGCTAATATCAGTTATAGTGACACTATTGCTGCTGAGGACTGGGCCAGTAACATGGTCACCCTCATGACTGCACACCAACCTGGAGCCTCCTCTCTTCCTCCTCCCGCTTTTTCCTCTCCTCTTCTTCCTGTTTCCTCTTCAGTTCCATCTCTGATTTCCTGTGGGGGACAAAGGCTATTAAAACAGGGTGTTGACATGAATGCTGGACCAAAAATAAAGCGAGTTCTGTTTATGCAATAACCTTTGACCATGTACTGGCAAAGTGGGTGGAAGATAGATGGATGGATGTGTAAAAATGAACAAAAAAACAGTTCAGCAAAGGAGAGTAGCTTTAAAAACCCCCACCCACCCCGTATGTGAGACCATGAAAGCGAATTTCACAGGCCATGAATGTGATGAAGTTCAGGCAGATTATTGTGCCATTATGCTATTAAAGGGCCCTCTAGAGCATCAATGACACCCGAGCGACCATTAGCCAATCAGCATAAAGATCATGACAATGTGGAACTCTCCATCAAGGCCCTGTGTGTGTGTAACACTCCAGGTCTCGCAGGCCTGAACTGTCATGTGACACATCATGTGACATTTCATGTGATGCATCAGCAGGTTTGAAAGGTGATCTGAGTGCAGTCTCCTTGGAGGAGTAAAGAAGCTTTTCTGTTTCCTGTCTTTTCCTGTGATCTGAGCTTGACTGGCTTGGCTAGAACGCTGCTGTCTGACTCTCCGCAGCTCACACACACAGGACTCGCATGCAGTTCCTGGTGAATCAGGTGAATCAAAGTGAATTAAACTGAACTGAGCCAGAGCGACCTGGTGTGACCCTGCTGCCCCGCCCCCTGGTGGTCACTCACAGGCGGCGCTCCTCCTCCTCCTGCTTGCGCCGCTGCTCCTGCTCCTCACGCCTCTTCCTCTCGCGCTCCATCTCCTCCTGGATGTGCCGCAGGCGCTCCCGCTCCTCCTCCTCCTGCTTGCGCCGCTGCTCCTGCTCCTCACGCCTCTTCCTCTCGCGCTCCATCTCCTCCTGGATGTGCCGCAGGCGCTCCCGCTCCTCCTCCTCCTGCTTCTTCTTCTGCATGGCGGCCAGGAGCTGCTCGGATCGCGTCCCCAGGGCTCGGCACTCGTGATCGATCTCCTGGCGGCTCATCACCGTGCTCTGCGGAGGAGGGGGGCTTTAATGCTGAGACCCGCTCACGCGACGGCATGCCGAGAACAGGCCTGACGGCACAGGGTCAAATTTATGGTGATGACATCAGCAGGCCCATCTTTCGGTTATCTCACCGAGACCGTGAGATAACATCATAAACTCTGGGGGACAGGACACCGACAGGAGCTCATTCTCCTGTGATGAGGCTCCCGAGATCAGCGCCCTGTCCCTGTCCAACCCATGAAGGGGTGAACCGTGAAAGACGACTGAAAAAAGGGGGGCATAAAGACCCCTTAAAAACCTGCCTGTTTGCTTGTGGAAAAACTCAGATATAACCTTCTGCCTCTTCATTGTTTCCTAAAGTGTCAATGCCTGCTGACATCACACTCCTGTGCCTCTCGCCACTTGCTGAGATTTGGCCAGAGCTGCTGATGGCATGACAGTACAGTATACAGTCTAAAAATACATCTGATTGGTAGATAGACAAGTCAGCAGCCAATATTGTTTGCCTTGTGTAAAAAACACAATGCCGACAGTCCGAAACCCCGGATGCTGCCCCAAAGGTCCCCCTGGCACAGTCCGAAACCCCGGATGCTGCCCCAAAGGTCCCCCTGGCACAGTCCGAAACCCCGGATGCTGCCCCAAAGGTCCCCCTGGCACAGTCCCAACCCCGGGTGCTGCTCCCTGGTGTTGGGCAGTGATAGAGGTATGATGGTCTGCAGTACCTCTGCGGAGATGCAGACCACGCAGTGACTGGGGAGGGCGGGGCGGGGGGGGGGGGGGGGGGGGGGGGGGGGGGGACTCTAAGGCAAGCTGCCAAGCAGCTTCATGCATTATTTGGCTCACAGAGGAGTTGGTGACCCCAAACACCTGGTCAGAGTGTGCATCTGCCTCACGTCTGATAAAATCATTACTGCAGGGAAAACAACAATGGCTGACTCGGCCACCACAGAAGATGCAGGTTTATGGCACTGCAGCTGGATATCTACGGCACTGCAGCTGGGTATCTACGGCACTGCAGCTGGATATCTATGGCACTGCAGCTGGATATCTACGGCACTGCAGCTGGATATCTCCAGCCCCCGCAGCAATGAGACTGCAGATATCAACGCACAGTTTTGTTTGCGTGACCTGCAGTGTAGCGAGCCTCTCCTACCTTGATCTTGGCCAGGAGGGTGTCAACTGAGATGTCCAGCTCCTGGACCTGCTTGCTCATCTCCTGCTTGCCCTCCTTCAGCCCGTTGACCACCTCGCTGAACTTGCCGATCCTCTGCTTCAGTGTCCTGGCCTTCACCATGCCCTCGATCCTGTCCGGGCAGAGGAAATCGGGACGGGTCAAAGTGGCACACGGCACATGAACGGCGTGGGAGAAGCAGCTGAAATCGAACGTATTCTGGGTTGAACAGTAAAAATGCTGAGGGCCCCTGAGAAGCAGTGCGTGGAATGCGGGGATGTGGAAGACACCCACCTGGGCTTGTGTTTCCTCCTGCAGAGCCACATGCGAACCGTCTTCTGCATCTTAACACATGCGGAGGCCCGGTACAGCATCTTGTTCTTTACTGCCGGGGCAAGAAACACACTGATAAAGGCCAAACTGGCCACAAAACACCTCCACACACCACCTTCAATTAAAACCCCAAAACGCCTATAATAGAAAATCATCTTCCAAATTAGACAGCATATTGCACCCCAGCCTGGAGCCCCGGGTTTCCTGGGATAAGCTCCAGATAAACCATGATCAGCATAAGCAGCAGGAAGATGGATGGATGCCATATTACTATTCCTGCCCTGATTTAGCAATACTTTATGTAATGCTGTGTCGTCACAGCACTAATCATTATAGCGTTCACATTTCCATATACCTTTGCATATGACATTGAAGCTTTCCCCTTATACGGCTAGTACCACATTAATGTCGCACTCATAAAAACAAGCTGCTTTTTGTTACAGTGTAAAGTTTAACTGCCCAGCAGAAATGATGCCCAGCAGCAAATGTAAAAAGACCTTCCCTATCAGATGGGAGCGGACCTGCCACTACGTGACGAGGAAGCTCACGATCATCTGGATAAACAGCAGCATCAAGAACATGTGGTGAGAACACGCTGTTAAATGGAGAGGAAACACAGCACCCTGGAGTCTGCGCATAGGGACTCTCCTCTGGCAGATGGCAGTCCTGTGCTAAGTACGCTTGATGACGGACAGCATGCACCACTGGACCTTCTACGTACGCTTGATGACGGACAGCGCGCACCACTGGACCTTCTTCCAGCGGCTGCAGATGAGCCACTTGTTGACACGCTGGACCAGCTCAGCCAGGTGCTCGGGATCCGACTTCATGATCTGGTCAAACTCGGCAAACTGGCACGGGACAGATGGAGGGACACACGGTGATGATTTGGCTCTGGATGAAGGGAGAATGCAAACAGGAAGGAGGCAAGCCCATGGTGGGCGGGACTACAGAGCTCAGCCAATCACTGCCTGGCTCTCATCCAACACAATAAACTCACCATTGATTCAATTTAACCACTTATATGCATATCACACACACCAAAATACAAGAGTTTTTACATTCTTAAATTTCTAATTACAGTCACAGATTTTTTTAAAACTTTGCCGTAATAAGGTCAAAAACCAGGTATTCATCACATTGTGCGGACATTTGGTCCCCACAAGGTAAGGTATATCTGGACACACACACACACACACACACACACAATTTCCTCGCTTGATATATTTAATAACCAAATGATGTGAAAATATAAATCATAATTCTCATCCGATTTTTATGTAATTCTATCCAATTTTGAAGGCACTCGAAAAGAACAACGAGCTTGGGCTGTGTGAAAGGGAGGCAGAGAGAGTGATTTAGGGGGAAAGTGTAAAAAGAGAGAGAGGGAGGACGGAGTGAGGAGAGCGTGCGAGACAGAGGGAACGCGGCTGATGAGGATATATTGAGCCGGCTGCCCAGACAAAGTGACCACATCTGGACTATTCGCCCGTAATTGGATCTATCAGAGCTCATCATATCTCAACAGCATTGTTAGAATAACATGCATTTTCCTTGACTGCGGCTTCTCACATGCTGCCTACCCCATCTGCTCAGTTTGGGTTATTTTTAAAACCCATTTCCACTAATTTCATAGAAGGTGTTTGTGCCGAATGTGGAAAAAGAACAAATGCTGGCGTGTCGGAGCCCCGGCGGAGCTCCACGTCCCTGGAAGGGCCCAGCAGTGTTTGAAGGCCAAGGGGAATAGGCCCTACCTTTCCAGGTCTGAAGAACACCCTCGTGAGCCCAAATTTGTAATCATTCTCGTTCAGTCCGAGCGCTTTGAATAAAGCCTAGAGGTAAAGTGAAGACAACAGTAAAATAAGCTTTTATTGACTGATGACTCCAATAGTCTGTCACAGGGGTTTAAATTGCCTATTTCTGAAGGATAAAGGATATCTGATTGTTACCGTTAGCGAGGAAGATAACCAGAAAAAATGCTCAAGAAGGATCAACCTATCAATTATCTTGATAGAAGCTCGTCACCCTGGTCCTTTAAGAACCAAAGACTGGCTTAACAGGCGGCAATCAACAGCTGGGCTATACTTCTCCAAAGATGAATTTTAATCCTTTAATGCGGCCCACAAGAAATAATAAATTGGACTGGGGCCCTTATAGGAGTAAGGGGGTATGCGAGTACGACCTTGCAGAAGAGTCGGGGGTCCAGCCGGGTCAGCTTGGCAGGCATGTACTGTTTATACATGTTGTAGAGCTCGTGGAAGGGGGCCCGCGACGGGAACCCCCCCTGCATGAGGTCCAGGACAGACACCATGCCTATAGGGAAAGGAGCAGCAGCGGTGAGCTCAGTGGATCTGCCTTGGCCACAAAACCCAAGTAAGCTTCTCCAGGAACGCCAGCACACAGCAGCTTGTCAACAGGCTGCTCCCTGCACCCCAGGTATAGCCACCCTCCCAGGATTCTCATGCACTACAGTGTCTAGAGCTTACAGAGAACAGGGCGATGAAAGCCACATTCAGCAAAAACACCAGCTCAGCACAACAGTGGTGTGTAGAATGGCTGAAGGTAGAACTTGGAGTAATTCTGGAGACAAATGTACTACAAATGCGCTAAATGTACTGGAGACAAAGGGTCCTAGCCGGTACTAGCTAGGTGTACCTAATAAAGTGGGTCCTACCCGGTACTAGCTAGGTGTACCTAATAAAGTGGGCCCTACCCGGCGCTAGCTAGGTGTACCTAATAAAGTGGGTCCTACCCGGTACAAGCTAGGTGTACCTAATAAAGTGGGCCCTACCCGGCGCTAGCTAGGTGTACCTAATAAAGTGGGTCCTGAGTGTATACTTACGCCTATACTTCCCACTCACTGACTGCCTTATGTTCTGTTTCCCCATCACAGATGCATATCTGTTTCCTACTGTGAATCACGTGTCTGACTGCTTAGCCATGTATGGTGGCCATGAAGGCCCACACAGACCTGAGCACTGCAGCTGGGACAGGATCTGGCTTCCTTCAAACTGGTGGCTCACCATCTTCAGGTTGGGCTTCACACAGCGGATGAAACTAGAGCCCTTAAACGACAGCGAGCCGCCAATGTTGGCATTAGCATTAGCGACGTCGCGGCCGCAATTCGGGAGGGGGGCGGGGTAGGAACTATATTGGGGTGGAGCAAGGCAAAGGGCGAGAGGCAGCTGTGCGTACTCACCGTGCTACGCAGCTTCTCCAGGAGGATGTTCAACTGGGTCTGCAAAACAAAGCAGAACAGACTCGTTACGTGGTCCGAAAAGGCCAGCGCACGGCTCAGGCTTGTTCGGAGCGCACACTCTGAGGCTAACAGACTCAAAAACTGTTCATGCAAACAGGGGAGGCCGACGTGGACAGCAGTGTGGGGGCAGCCATGGATGGCGGGAGGCTGACCGCGGCCAGGATGCCACCAGGGGCCCCGTGGTGAAGTCCTGCCGTGAACGTCACATGCACAGCTGACCTCACATGCCCCCCAGAGCTTCACTCAAGGTCACGGCAAGGACAACCAGATGCTACATCCTGAGACGCCACCCCACAGGACCACCGGGGGGGCGTTACGCATCATCCCGTAGTTTTCAGAGCGTTCCAAACAGTGCCCGATGATCCAGGCATTCCGGGCCATAAAACAAAATCATGACCCAAATTAAGCATGACGGGCCGCACCACAGGCTGAGCGCCGCATCGCATGCTGGGCCCATGGAAAAGGAACCAGCGTGAAAACCAGCCATATTGGGGACACGGCAGAAGAATAACCTTCAGACAAATGAAACGCTGGGTCACCCAGCAAGACACCTATTAGTCGATATTTAATCTCAGATAAGTGTAAGTATTTAAAAGCTGACATCCTGTTTCACTTGACATCATTATACAACGGGAAAACATCATGAAAGGAGTGTCTGTGTATCTGACAAATTAAAGAGGACTGGCCAGATGTTCACCACTGATTACCAACGCAGCTTCTATGTATTAACACACAAGCAACATCAAGAGTGTGAAAGGTCGCACACTCACGCAAGCTCACGACAGGAAAAGCAGAGGGTCTGACAAACCGGCGGACATGAGGCTGGCAAACGGCAGAGAACCTGCTGGGACGATGAAGGACAGGTGAAGATGACTCACAGGGGGAGCGTGGTAAGAGGAAGCGGGTATCCCAAAAGAAGCGGCCTATCGGGGTCTCCTGGCCAGGCTAGCAGGGAGCACACAGCCGCTAACCACGCGTTGCCGCCCCACTGTCTGGCTGACTCTACGCTTCATCACGATCGATTTTTACAGCCTGTCTTTCTAGTCATCCTGAGCTGGCCTCATCCAGCTCAAATCAAAGGACTCTTAGAGGAGGGACTGAGAGACAGGGGGAGAGACTGGAGGAGCTGGGCTGAGGAGTAGAGAGGAGGCACAGAAGGGAGGCCATTAGATTTAATGACCAAAGGAGCCTGAACACACAGCACTGTGGCCCCACGGAGCCGCTCACACACTTACAGCTTCCTGTAGGCTACAGAGAACCCGAAGTTCAATCCAGATCCGATATATAATTCACAAAAATACAGGCACTGAATGATAGAGGAAAATGGGAGCGGAGATCAAACTTAGGCAGGACTCCAGTTGACATACGATGGGTTTTTTACCTGCCGCTTTACAGCTCGGCCTTCACTGGGGGTGGGGGGGTGGGGACTTAAGGGGAAGAGACAGAAGTGCCAATATCTTTGGGCCATGAAGCAGGAGGCCAGGACTCGAGGTCCGGCTTCAGCATGGAGGAGCACTAAGTCACCCTGATAGGCAGCAGGTTCTCAGCTGTAAATGTCCCTTAGAAGTGCGGCTGGGAGCGAAAAAATAAGCAGCGCAACTTGAAAAAATAACCTTTTCATTTGCATTTTGAAATGTGGGTATTTTTATGCATTTCAGTTTTTACAACTGGATGTCTTTATTAGATTTACATGTTAATAGGAGGGTCATCTAGAAGGCATTATATCCTCGCGGCTGCAAATAGATTTCAGGCACAATCAACGGAAATTGTACGACCAGCATCTGAGCAAACAAGGCCCTTTCTCTCCAATTACTTACACAATCCATTTGTACTCCTAGTACAGCTTACACTCCCTGTAAATCCACAATATTTTCCTGACATCAGTATACTGTATTATCTATGAGTGTGTGTGTGTCTGTATGTGTGTGTGTGTGTATCGTGTGTGTGTGTGTGTGTGTGTGTATGTGTCGGTTGTGTATGTGTGTGTGTCTGTATGTGTGTGTGTGTGTGTGTGTGTGTGTGTGTGTATCGTGTGTGTATGTCAGATGTGTGTGTGTCGTGTGTGTGTCAGATGTGTGTGTGTCTTGTGTGTGTGTCTGTATGTGTCTATATGTGTGTGTGTGTCTGTATGTGTGTCTCTGTGTGTGTCTGTATGTGTGTGTGTGTCAGATGTGTGTGTGTGTGTGTGTATGTGTGTGTGTCTGTATGTGTGTCTCTGTGTGTGTCTGTATGTATGAGTGTGTGTGTGTGTGTATGTGTACAGACACTAGGTAGATATACTGACATGCAGCATCAGTATCTTCATCGGCTGGTATTTCCTGTCAGACGTAGAGGCCCCTCCCCTCTGTGGCCCCGTTTGAGGGGCCCCATGAATGTTTGATACTGACTGCAGGTAAACAGCGCTGTGATGTGGACACTCCCCGAGAATCACACAGCATTACTGACTGCCAGCTGCGATGCACGATGCATCAGGAAATGAAACATTCTTTCAGCCTTATCACTTTTATGACTTTTTCATTACGATTTTGACGATAGAGGTGCTGAGGGTGATTTCCGCGGACCCCCCCCCCCCCGCCAAGCCAACCAAAGGAGCCCCGTGTCCGTATGAGGGAGAGCTTCCCCCTCACCTTGAATTTGTTGCCCACGCTGATGAAGCTCAGCTTGCCGGCCTTCTGCTTCACATCCTTGGAGTTATTCGAGTTCTCAAAGAGCTCCCGCACAAACCTGTCCTTGGACTCGCTGACCAGGCCCTCCAGTGATGTGTGAAGTGCATCGTTGTTTTTTTCCACAAATTTTATCTGGAGACAGAATGAAGAGGTGAGGCGCATGTGAGCCCATTCCTGAAGCTGTCAAAGAATCATCACTTATCCTTGTCACCCACAAAGATGGGGAGGAGATAATTGTGTTTGTAGTGTAAGAATGAATACTAAACAGTAATGAAGACATATTCTGTTAAATACAACCAGGAAAAAGGTCCTAGGAAGGTCTGCAGAGAGTCTGTAAGGGGTCTACAAGGGGTCTGCAGGGGGGTCTGGCAGGAGAATAGCAAGGGGTTTGCAGGGGGGTCTGGAGGGGAATAGCAAGGGGTCTGCAGGGGGGTCTGGCAGG